TCTCTCTCTACATTCTCTCTCTTCCTCTGACTTCTTGCTCTTTTTTTCTGGTTTCTCTTTCTGCTTCTTTTTGCCACTCTCTCTCTGTCTCACTCTCTATGTGTGTGTCTGTGCCTCTCTCTCTGTCTCACTCTCTATGTGTGTGTCTGTGCCTCTCTCTCTGTCTCACTCTCTCTCTCTCTGGTAATCTATCTTAGTTAATATCGTCTCTGTGAGCAGCTGGGTACCGAAGCCCAGTCAGCTCTGTGAGAAACAGACCTCTGGTTGTGTATGTGTGTGTGTGAGAGAGAGAGAAAGAGAGAGACACACACACACGCACACACACACACACACACACACACACACACAGAAAGATAGAGACAGAGAGAAAACAAGATACAAAGTAAAACAGTAGCAAGAGACAGAGCAAGGAGGAGGGAACCTGATGATTATCACCACAGTGTAAGGCTGGAATTATGTATATATATATATAAATATGTCTATGGATTGACGCAGTGCAGGGGGTTATGGGTAACTGTAGGTCAAAGAGGAGCTGACACACACGCCTCCCGAATCTCAACAACATATTGACGTCAAGCTGATTGGTCAAACAATTTTCCTGTTGGGAGCAGGTTGTAAGCATCACATCCAAAAGATGTCTGAGATGTTACACTCTTTCCAATGTAATCTGATTACTTGTACTTCACAGTACAAATGATGTAAATCAAGTGAAAAGTAAATTGGATGAGAAGCGCCTTCTAACAAACTAAATGGAGATGTGGAACGTGACCAACTTGAACCTTGACATTAGCTGTATGGTTGACGACAGACATGTGTCACTGCTCTTTCTGACCCCGGCGGCTTCTGATTTGGAGATTTGTGTTTTGAACGGGGTCTAAATAACTATGTATTTAACTCTTAGACCAGGTCTCTTCTTAGAAAAAGTAATTTATGCATTGTTTGGTCATTATTCAATCACTTTCAGCTGAATTCTGATAATGTTCTGTTGCTGTGGAATAGTTAGCCAACTCAGTTTATTTGAACTATTCAGCCCATGAATATCGTTGCACAATGTCCTCTGCGGCTCTGGAGGAGGAATTCTGATGGCGTCATAGTGATGCCATCAGGGTTTGCTTGGTGACTTTAAATGCCTGATCTGTGCCTCCTACCCGATCTGTACTGCGCATGTACAACAGAGATGAGTAGGAAACTAGTTTTTTCTCTTCTGGATGCAGTCTGGTGATATCTTAGCTGAGTTGGTGCCGAAGTTTTGTTAAGTTATTAATGTTACTTTTGCTACTACTGAGAAGTGAGGATTTTTGTGGTGGAATTGGTGGAATACTCCTTTAACACCTCAATCTGACTGATCGCTTTCATCTCGGTATCTGCAATAACTCAACTGTACTGAACAGATAGTGTGTAATGAAGTCAAATTGATGGAGACAGCGAGACAAACAGGTAACGAGAGACAGACCGAGAGACAGACGGGTATTTTGTCTCTCCTCTAGTTGCCGGGGCGACCGGCCTGGCCTGGCCTGGCTCGATGCTCGAGTGCGAGAAGAAAAAAACAAAGAAAGGAACAGAAAAGAAAGAAAAGCGCCACAATCAATGAGACCCTTTTTGTTTTAGTGGGAACCCCCTTTTACCCCCGACGACACACACACACACACACACACACACACACACACACACACTGAAACACACAGGGACAGAGGAACAGGATGACTGAATTGGTGTGTGATTGTGTGTGTGTGCCTTTGTGTCTGACTCCCTCTCCCTCTCTGTGTGTGTGACTGACTTTATTTAAGACAAGGGCCCTTTTGTTTTAAGCCGGAGAATGGCTCTGAGACCGAGGCTGGCCCTGTAATTGGCCTACTTAGGCCCTGTTTAGCATGAGAAAAGCCTTCCTTGGCCCGGCAGTGCCAAGCTAACTCTTGTTTTCAGCCACAGAGAGGGCGAAGGCGCTGATCAGAATTCAGATTAGCTCGAAAAACATCCACCACCACCCCCACCCCTCCAAACACACTTCTCCACCCTCTGCTTTAAATACACTGCACACTAATTACTTAACGAGAAAGCTGGGAAAAAATCCACCCTTTAACGGAGTACCGGTGGAGTCTATTTAAAGTTGAGGGGGAGGGGGGTGGCAGGTTATTTTTCACCTCTAACTTTTTGTGCCACTTTAAGAAAAAATGACCCTCTCCTCCATCCTTCTCTCTCTGTCTTTTATTCTCGTGCTCTCTTCTCTCCAAATCAGCCCAGACGCCACTTGTTGCCGCCGAATCATTGAACTTAATTAGCGGGACAATGTGTGAGCGGTTTGCTAAGTTTGAGCCGTAAACAGAGTCACAGTTAGAGGAGGGGGAAAGCAGCCGAGACGAGAAGTTAGACTCTGAGCTGTGGAGCTGTGAGATGAACGTCTCCACGCTGAGCAGCATGAGGTCGCTCTCATGGAGGTAAATACCATCCCAACCGTGGTTCCATCAGCTTGGTTTGAGGTGTCTGAGGTAGGCTTGGTTCCTGGATGTTAGACGGCTTCAGAATCAGATCCAAAGGGCAGTTGTTTGTCTTTCTGATGATGAACTTCGGGTGTCAGGTGATGTACTGTATATAGGGATATCTAATGTGACATTTGGAAGCAGTTTTGAGATTGAAAAGAAGCTAAAATATCCCTTTTGTAATTTGTTTTGTATTAAAAAACGAATGTGATCGATCTGTATGTCTGCCTGTGTCTGTCTGCCTGTCTTGCATTCAGTTTCATTATCTTGAAGGCAGTGTTATGGTTTTGACTACGCCAAAAAAAAGGGAAAAAAATGCTTTTGGTATTTTAATTTAGATTTTAATTTTGGCAGCAAGTGTGCATTTTCAAACATCACGTTTAATTTTTCCATTTTAATGTTGCAATACATCATGCTCACACAGAAAATGAAATTTCAATTTGATTAAATTATTTCATTTTAATCTTGGCAGACGTGGACTTCCATTTCTACACTGTATTAACCTATTTAGAGCAGTTATACATGGAACTATGTGATTTAACACACAGACACACATGCCTTAACACAAATGAGCGCTTACTATTAACAAATTCACAATGACTTTCAATATTCCAACCATTAATAATGTGCTAATACCGCGTATCATCATATATGATGGATAGTACTGATGGGAAAGATTCCTTTACATATCACCTGTCAGCATTGTATTATTGCAGACTTTGGCATGTGAGGGTTCAAAATACTTTGAACTGATAATATAACAATATATCCAATAAATCTGGGTTTAATTACCCTGAATCATAGATTTATTTCTTTTTCAGGCATTTCTGTAACATTTAGTGCCAAGTCAGATATACTGGGGCTTTCCAAAAAAATCTGAAGTCAGTATCAACTTGAATACAGATATTTTACAAGACAGAAAACTAGTAGTCATAGTAACTCTTGTATAATGCAAGTTGGAATTATTCTTAGCATTCCAAACTGTCCTCAATATCCTAGCTTCCATTCACGTGTCAAGTCGGCATGCCTGAACTGTGCTGAAAATTGAGTATCCGCAGCGTTCCAGTTTTGCTCAGCCTTCAAGCTTTCTTCAACACTCAAACATTCCAGCTGTTATCAGCAGTCGACATCCTGACCATCCTCAATTTTTCCAACATTTGTCAATATTTCAGACATTCTCACGTCAACACTCTGACATTTTGCAACATTACTGAAATTCCAACTGTGTTCAGCCTCCTGACACAAAAATTCTCAGCATTACAGTTAGATTCAATATAACAGCTGTGATCATTCCAGTTACCCTACACTCCAGTTTTTATCAACATTACATTGATCAATATTCTGTTTAATTTCATCTTCTCGTTGATATTTCAGATACCTTCCACATTCTCTGATCAACATAGAGATGCATTCCATCTTTCCTGAACATTCTCATTGTGTACAAAATTCAGAGGTATTCTGGATAATAATCTTTATAAACAGATATCTGCATACAAATGCAGAGTCTGGAGGCAATGGATGAGAGTTTGGTATTGGAAGCGTTCTGGTTTCCATTTGTAGTCCCATTAGTATTGACCAGTCATGCTTGAGCGGGCTTTGGTTGCACGCAGTCTGACAGCGATCTAGCTTTTATTAGTGACCGGTGCATGGAAGAGGAACTCCTGGCCCAGATCCGTTATTCACTGGCTACACCTGAAGCCTCGAAGCATTGACCATTGCCCCCTACTGTCAGACAGTAACCGATGGGCTCCTCAACATTTCAATGTTTCCATTCACTTTTCAGCTCCACATGCTAGCCATGACGAACATTTTAACAATTATCTTTATTCCTGTTATTCCACTGTCAAAATTCCAGTGATCAATATTGTATTTGATTCTTCAGCACTACTGACAATATTCCAGCTTGCTTTGTCGAGTATTTTGGGTGGTTTCAGAAATTTCTGTCACAAAATTCTGGTAGTGATTATTGGAAATATCAGACAACCATCAACATGCAGAACTTTCACATATACATATGTAAAATCATCAATCATTTTCAACATTTTGACTGTTTTTAATTATCATTTAAAAAGGATTTCAGGTGATATTATTTACGGTACCATAAACACTCTAGAGAACTAAATGTGTGTTAATCTGTTGCTGAAAATAGTCCTCTACAAATGCACATTCCTCCTGTGTGAGTAATTTTTGGTATTAACTACAGTGCAAGCAAGGCTTTTTATATATATATATATTTATATATATTTATATATATTTGTGACTCTGGTACCTTATATATGTAGATTTAATTTTAATCCAATGCGATTTCATTTTTACTGTCCGAAATATTTATGACAGGCTTATCGTCAGGCTACAGTCTTCATATCTTCAGAAATCTTCCTGTTTTTGCTTGTGAAGAATGGTGCATCCTTCCTGGTCCTTGAGTCACAAGGTCACATGATTAACAATTTCTCTCTCTCTCTCTCTCTCTCTCTCTCTCTCTCTCTCTCTCTGTTTCTTTGTCTGTCTGTGTCTCTCGACCAGTCGATACTGGGTGGTGAGCTGGGGTTGGGGAGTCCCAGCGCGGCATCGCCCACCAAGCCGGCCGGTCAGTACTACCAGCACTACAGCTCCAACCCTCGGAGGAGAACGCTGCCTATGGACACCATGGGTGAGAGGCCGCTATCACGCTAACATTATACATTCACTATAAACACACAGTGACATTCACATTAACAGGTCTGTCACTGAACTGCTTCCTCTGTTACAAAATGTCCAACAAAGATAAAAATTTGTGTTTGGAGTGAGAAATAATAAATTATACATTTTAAACCTTAAATAAATTAAATATATAAAAATATACACTCTATTATAGCCACTTTATTATGCCACCCCAAGCATTATGTACTCTATGTTTCAGAGTGGATCCCAGACACAGTTGGGGCCCTGTATGGGGTTGACAGACCTTTCTAAACCTAATGTAAACTATTTAGACCAATATGTTTTTTATTATGTAGTTGTCCCATTATTAGGTACATCTAGCTAAAACTAATGCAGTGTAATACAGCACCACAATACCTCTAAAATTACAGTAAAGATGAAATTATGACCTTTATGAGGAATGGCTTTATTGCAGGGCAGTAAAGACTGCATTAAACTAACATATATAATATATAATAACAATACATTGGTCTAAATAGCCTGCATTAGGTTTAGAAATGTCACGTGTGTCTGGGGTCAAAATGGACACATTGGGTGTGTAATGCTAGCTCAGGGTGTTGATGTTTTCCGGTTCGGTCACTCATTTAATAGACAACAGCTTTTTCTTTTCCAAAAAAAAAAAGAAAGAAAACATTTTTCAAACTTTTTGGAAGAATTTCCCAGTATCAAGTGCCATTTTTTTAAACAATAACATGATGATCCTGATAAGGATCTGACTTGCTTGGATGTTTTTCAAGGTATACACACCTTTGATTCACATTCAGTTCCTGAAACCAATGGGAAGTACACTGGGAACAACTGATTATCTGTCTTTTTGACTTAAAGCCTGAATATGTTCCTTTTTAAGATGATTTTCTGATCAGTCTGAAACCAATAAGCTCATGAAAATGAACCTCAAACAATTACATCCTGACGTTCTGACTATGAGCTACGAGAACAATGTCTGTGAAATTCTAACGTTTTAGAGTCGGTCAGTTACAAGTAGAACCTCAATATTCTCAATATTAGACTGAAGGAAGCTTTTAGAAAGAGCTATATTAAAGCAGCACGTCACCCTAACTTCATTTACATTCCTGTATCCCGACAGAAACTCTTTTCAGTGAATTCAGTGAAACATTTTAACCTGCTCGGATCCCGGCCCCCGCTGATGGTGTTGTTTTGTGTTTCAGAAGGCCGAGCATTGTGAGTGCGTGTCCATGTGTCCGTGTGACCATCCTGTTTGTCTGTGCGTCTGTTTTCGAAAGGGGACTTTAAGAAAAAAAGACATACAGGGAAACCTTTTAGAAAGCAGGACAATGGTGGCCGCGTTATAGCCTTGGTGGCGTTAGCCTTGAGAGGACGCAAAACACACACACACAAGACTCTGGGCCAATTCCCCCCCCCCCCAAAAAAAGGCACCTCTCTTTCATTTTTCCATCAAAGTCTCACCTTCCCAGTTGATAGACCGCTCCCTCGCTCGCCTTGAGAGAAACCCTGAAAAATAATATAAACATGTCAAAAGCTGCCCTCCTTCCTTTTATCAAACCAAAAAGATAAAAAAAAGAAATCAACCCGGCCCTTTTTGTATTGTGTCTTTTGATTTTCTGCATCTTATTGTGCCACGCTTGTTTGCAGTGAAAGCTCTCTTTATAAATGTATCAACGGCGGTGGGAAAAGTGGCCTCGGTCTCTCCTCCTCGGCTGATCGATTAAATTCAAGCAAATCAAACCAGAACCACCTTTTAAAAGGCAAATAAAAGAGTCTTGGCCCACTAAACCCTCATGTATTGTTTTGTTTTTCTCTCTCTTTCAGAGGTACACACAAAAAAAGTGCGGAAGGTCCCTCCCGGCTTGCCATCCTCGGTAAGTGATAACATGCCCTTTTTTTATTATTTCGCCGGTATTATTGCTGCTTCAAGTGTGTGTCGCCACAGAAAAGGCTGCTGATGCTCCTGCATGTTTTGAATCGCTGAGCTGGTTCCGGAGCAGGAAAAAAAACATTGAGTTGTAGAAAAGCTGCACACGTTGCCAGGTTTTGTGAATCTGCGGAGATGAAGATGATGCTGCTGTCGGAGCCGAGCTGGACACAAACAGCTGCTGGCTTTTTGTTGTCGGTTCCTGATTTTGGGGAATGAACTGGAAGAATTTCATGCCAGAATAAATAATCGGACATTAAAAAAAAATTCTAAATCTAAAAAAATGTATTGGTATAAATGTTAAATGACGCAGAGCTAATAAAATTTGACTAAAGAAAAACATATCAGTGTAAACAAAATAAGGACATTCTCACAGTCTTAGTTTCCCTGTAATCGATTGATTGATTGGTTTGGATCTATACTGAGGTATTTTGGAATCCTCACCAGTTGATCCGCTCGGCTGCTGGGCGTTGGTATTTTTTCTGCAGGTTTTGAAAGGACCCAGTCGCTGAAGAAAGAAAAGCCGCACTCGTTGCCAGGTTTTGTGAATTTGTGGAGATGAAGATGATGCTGCTGTCGGAGCCGAGCTGCTGGACACAAACAGCTGTTGGCTTTTTGTTGTCGGTTATCAGCTGAGAGAGTTTCATCCCAGAATAAATAACCCAGCACAAAAAAAACCCAATACTTTTCTAAATAAATAAAGTATATAGAGTAAAAGTTAAAAACAGCACTTTTTTTTAAACATTTAATAAATGGTTTATAACACACTATATGCTAGTTCTACGCAGCAATTATGACCTCTCCTATGAAGTCATTTTATATTATTATAACTGTGTTTGACTACATTGCTACATTTGTTCATCAGCATTATGGGTGCCCACAGGAGAAGTTATTAAGAATACAATAAAATCATAAACATTTATACCTGCTTACAACTACAATATACTGTGTTTTATGATGATGATTGATTGATTAATTTATTTTAATATTGGGATTTTTGGGCATTCTCGATTGAAACTCGTGGCAGTCGATGTGCTCGGCTGCCGGTTGGAGGGCTCGAGGATTAGACTCGGCCTCGGTTGAGTCAGTTCAAGCAGAAAGAGAATGGAATGGCCCATCCACCAAATAAGAAAATACTGCTGAGACCATGGTTTATCACACCAACACCAGAAATGTGCTGCTTTTCTCTGCTCTTTGTCATGTAAACTGAATATCTTTGGGTGTTGGTCAAAATAAGACATTTTAAAACGTCAATCTGAGAGCATGTGATGGACATTTGTTTTGGACATTTGATAGACCAAATGGTTCATTAAAATAATGATTGGTTGCAGCCCGAAACAGATCATCCATGAATGGAGCTTTCTCCGTAAAGGACGTTATGTCTGTGGGTGAAATCATCAGAAAATACTCTCTGATCAGTCTTCAGTGTTTGTGGTTCCTCTTGAGCTGCTTGAATTGGACCCCGGCTGTTGTTCTGAGGCCTGGAGCTCGGCTGGAGTCTGCTGAATCATATTTTACCCTTTATTCTCTGGAGTCTTTGTTTTTACCTTTCGGTGTTCGACTCATCTGCTGTTGTAGTTTAATTTGTTATAATGCAATACAACTTTAAAATGCATTCTTTTAGAGCTTGGTTTTGTTTGTGTGTGTGTGTGTGTGTGTGTGTGTGTGTGTGTGGAAATGGATTTGTTGAATTTGATCTTGTTTTCCACCGACCTGCAGCTCCTCTCTGTTTGAATCTCTATTCGGGTCGGCGACTGTTGATGACACAAAATCAGCAGGTAAAGTATTGTAGTCCTAAATCATCCCTCGTAGCGGCTCTAGTGCTCATTAGATTTATTTCTGATTATGACTTTGAGGTGTTTTGCACACTGAGAGTTTTTTTCTGTTGCTGACCTCATTAATCTGCAGTTAACGATGGCTGAATGTACGACGTGTCAGCCGCCTCTTTGGCTCGGCAGGAGTCCGCTTTTCTGTGGCCTCGGCCCGCTTTGTCCACGCTTCCTCCTCTCTTTCCTCCGCCACCTCTCTGTGTCTACATCGGCCTGGGGAGGGAGAGAGGATGGAGGGGGAGGAGGACGGGGGGAGAGAGGAAGGAGGAAAGAAGGAAAACCAGGAGAGGAGAGGAAGGGTGTTGAAAAAAGGGAGAGCGGGGAGGAAGCGTGGTTTGTTTGACAGGTTGGTGTTGTTCTTCATCTTCCGTGTGTGTGAAGTGGAAGGATGAGACGTTTCCTGGGGAGGAGAGAGAAATGTCAAACTGTGGCTTTATTTGAATATAAAACTAACATTAGAGCACATTTATTTAAGTGCTGAACATTTGTAATATTCTGATACTTGTACTTTTTGCTACATTTATCTCATGCTGACTTTGTCTTCATGCGACAGTAAGATTTATACTCTAAACACACGATCAGCAGCACTTTGTGCCAGTGGGAGCCATTGTTTTTCCTTGGCAGGAGTAAAGACACAGAATGTCTTCGCAGTGAAATCTTTTGATCAAATTAATACATTTTGGTGTCAACTTTGACCTTGTCTGTCAACACTGTCTCTTAGAAATTAAATGGACTGCACTTATATAGCGCCTTTCTAGTCTTCTGACCACTAAAAGCACTTTACACTCCATGTGTTGTTCACCCGATCACGTACATTCATACATTGAAGGCAGAAGCTGCCATGCAACTCCTCATCAGAAACTAACTAACCCATTCACACACACACACACACACACACACACACACACACACACACACACACACACACACACAGTGATGTCGCAGCATTGAGAGTAATTTGGGGTTCAGTATCTTGCCCGAGGACACCTCAGCATGCAGAGGGTGGAGCCAGGGATCGGACCGCCAGATCTTCTGATGGGATACAATCCCAATTTTCAATCCCAGAATGGTGTGTCCTTGTAACACAGAAGTCGTAGGGTGGCTGTTACAAAGCGCAGGGCGGTGAAAGAGATGAGTTCACACCATGTGTGTTATATGTGGTTAGGTTTAGGCTACTAAAACACAGATCAAAATAAAGCTTAATGAGGTTGCAGTTTGGTTCGGTTTAGGAAAAGATTGTACCTCAACAAATCAACAATGGCTTTTGATTTTGAACTCAAACAGCAGTCTCTTGGATGAAAGTTCTTGCGCTCGGGATTAACAAAAAGGAAATAAAACTGTTTTATTTTTTAATGTATAGTTGTGAACATGCTGGTCCTCTACCACCAGACAGGGGGTGCTGCAGCACCCTACCACACCCCTACTTCCAATGCCCTTGTGCACTCTATTCTGCACCCCACTCTGCACCCTACCTTGATGTGAGCACGCCTACTACAGCGTTCTACGGATTATGTGTAGAGAACCTTAAAGTGTCGTCAACCAGAATTTGAGGTCAATTTTAGAGGTAGCACAATTGCTTACAGAGTCAATGGAATATCACGACTGACTGACTAACCGCTTGTAAAAGTTTTGTGTCGACAGTCTTGTGATCCAGGTTTTGGATCTCTGTGCTCACACCTCCTTCATGTCTGCCGCGCACCGTCTCCTCTCTGTGCTCTAACCCTCTCTGTTTCCACCTCTGTGATGTGAGTAATCCTTCCGGCTTCCTCCCGCTCACATCAAGAGAAATGGAATGAGGAGAGGACCTGCTGCCTGTGAAATGGAGAGTTGGTTTGACTGCGAGAAAATAAATTCAGAGCCACTTTCTGCCTGCTTGTTGGCACGAGTACCAGTCGTAACAGAGAGCAGGAACTGTAGAGCTTTGTAGTTGTACCTGTTGTTTTTTCGAAAAGATTTGTTCTATTTTTGTTGTAGGTGTCTTTGAATCGCAGCCGCCCGGTAGGTTCTATCGTGTCATGAGTCAGTTTCGGTATTGAGGCCTTGTTTAGAGTTGTGGCTTTTAGTCTGAAAAAGCATCAAATTGCTGACAGGTGTTCATTTTCATAATCACTTCTGCTGGTTTTAGTTTCAATGTTTTTAGCACTAAACCTTGCTTAGAACCAAAACACTGAGCAACACACTTGAAGAACCAGCCATTATGTCAAAGGACTGACAATAAAAAGAGCAGTATTATTTGTTCTTCATTTCCTCCTCTGATGTCTGTACATCCATGGTTACAGTGCAAGCAGGAGCATCTGATACTGATACCATAATCAGAAATTCTTCCGAAATACTTCCAATACTGCCTAAAATGCGGTATCGGCTATCGACAAGAACGCCTGTCCGTGCACCAATATTATACCACATACTTTATTAGCTGCTGGACACTGCTGGAAGTAGCAAAGTCCCGTTTGGGGACTTTTTTCGCCAGGATATCGAAGTCATGACCTTTACTTCTCTGATTCAGACAAAGGGTTTAACCTAAGCCAGTCCATACAACAATGATGGCAATCAGGCATTGTAGTATAGTCTTGTTAATACTATAACTCGGTATCGACCTGATATGCAAAGTTCACGTATTGGTATCGGTATCTGGAAGGAAGAAATGGTATCGGAACATCTCTAGCCCTAATGGAAATTCATAAAATAAAATGAAACTATGGGAATAACAAGGAAAATGTTCTTATTTTGTTGTCCACTGTATATGTTTTAGACATCACTATGACTCTGAATGTCCCATAAACAATGGCACTTTCTCCTTCCCATTCATATACACTTCACACTGTGTATTTTCATGGTGTGTTGAAAACCTGTGGACATAGAGGCAAAAGAAAAAATTATTTCAAAATACATTTAAAAAAATTAACATGTCTAGTATTACTCACATGAAAACTGGGAAATATTTCTGAATAGTCTAACTTATCCTGTTTGTTTAAATGACCTGAATATTAGCATACTACATACATACACTGAATATATTCTGTGTATGTATGCAGTTTTTCTGCAGAATTAAGATTAAGATTAATTTGTTGAAGTGAAAAAAGTTTTTCTGCAAAGAGTGACAGTGTTTCTAATGGCT